CGCTCTTCCCGTCCTTCCTGCTGCAGCTCATCTGCTGCGTGGTGACCAGCCATGGTTTACTCTGTGCCTCTCCATGGAGGTGCTCCTGGCTGAGGTGGACAAGCAAGAGGAGCACGGGGGCTGCGCGCTCCAACTGCCCTGGGAGATCCCAGCACATGGGATATCACGTAAATCCTCTTATGGATTTAGCTGCAAATAAACAAGCAGCTTTATCAGTCCTACTGATAAAGAATCAGCAAACAGAATGTCATCCTAAGCGTCAAAGTCAACTCCTCTGATAGCCACCCTCCTTCCTGGCCAGAAACATGACAGAAGCCAACACGAGCCTAGTCCTCTGCCGCCTGCTTTAGCAGATGATATTTTGCTTTGAGCCCTCGCTTCTTGGCTTTGAGCTTGAGCAGCTCTGAGCTGCTTTTGAGCAGCTTGGGCAGCTGATGGATGGACATGTTGTCCCATAGGCAGTGACATCCACCGGAGGGGCAGCTGGAGCAACGGTGGCTCCACACTGCCTGTGGCAGATAGGTCTGTTGGGGCTCATTGGGCCAGCTGAGCTCTGGTGTTAAAATACACCATATCTGCTCTTCTGTGAGGTTTTGCTGCAGTGATCTGTTCCGTGCTCAGGAAAAGGAGGCAATTCTGACTTTTTTATCTTACAGCCCCAGGTTTTGAAGTCTAGGGGTTATGTGGGGATATCAACTGTCATTCACCAAACTGTGTATGAATGGGCGGCTCTTTTTAATGATTACACAGAAAAACTTGGAGATGATAGCACCCACTGTTTGTTTTAAATTGGAATCTATCCCACAGTGCCTGAGTCCTGGAGATGGGAGACCTTGCAGCCTTCAGACAGCTCCCCAACTCCTCATCCTCCTGCCATACATGCTGCTTCTCCAGAGGCACCGCCAGCTCCCGTTGTCAGCGGTGTCCTCCTGCCATCAGCAAGGCGCTTGGGCACGTGGCTCTCTAGCTATGCCTCTCTACAGGGATATCCTCGAATCCGCTAGCCCGGGCATGGAGCCGTGGCAGCCCATCTGAGGCCCTGCAGAAGGATGTGCAGCATTTCCAGGACGTGGAGTCACCAAGGTGAGCAGGACGCTTGAGGACTTCACTCCAAGTAGCTCTGTCCTGGTTTGTTGAATGGCTAGATTATAAACTCCTAGGACTTTAAAGAGAGCAGATGCTTCCATAGGCAGCCAAAAGTTTCTTACTTAACTGTGTATATATATATAAATATATATATATATATATGTATATACACAAAGAGAATGCTTTTGATTCCGTGGGAGTTCCCCTAAAATACGGCTGATTCTTTGACAGGACCCTACAATTTTGGCATACCATCCAACAGCAATGGGTTCATCCACCCCCTGCACGCCCAGGGAAGGAATCACTGGTTAAATAAACCTTCTGTGTGCTTAATAACCTTGTAGCTTGTATTGATTCAGTGTATTCCCTGCTAGCAAACCATTTACGCAGGTCATCTGAGTCTAGGACTGCTCATTCATGGCTTTAATTGCCAGATATGGATTGGCCAATCACAGCGGTAAGATAGCAAGCTAATAAAAACATGTGAGTAAGATGTAATAAACACTATTAGGGATAAATTAAGTACTTGGCTTGTATTGATTTAATCTGTCTGGATTAACTGCTCTAAATGTTATTTCGGTTAAAGGTACCAAAAATGCCCAAAGATTGTGCCCACGATTTGGGCACAAATTGAAATACAGGTGATTTCATTTAAACACGCACAAAAAAATCTTTTACTGTGAAGGTGGTTGGACACTCAAACAGGTTTCCCAGAGCGGCTGAGGAGTCTCTGTCACTGGAGATGTTCAAAACCCAACTGGAGATGGTCTGGGCCCCGTGCTCCAGGGGACCCCATTGGAGCAGATGATCTCCAGAGGTGCCTACCAGCTGTGGCTCCTAGTCAACACGTCCTCCAAAGCCAAGTGCGCCCCACATCATGCAACGCATTCTTGAGCTTCATCACCCCATACACCCTAACCGAAATGGACCCAAGAAGGCTCCTTCTGTCTCTGTTATCATCTGCTCTGTCTTTCTGTGGCTGCACTTGTTCAACAGCTCCCTGCGCCTGCTGATTGACCGCAGTGAAGCCTGTTCTCCTCCAGGGAAACCAAGGGCTGCTCTGGGATTACAGCGTTTTCCTTTCTGAAGTACACAGTCTGTCCCTTTGATCCTAAGCATCACCTCAGAGGTCATCCCTCCCCCCTTGCTTTTTCATCTCCCCCTCCAAACTGCCCAGCCGCCCGACCGGCGCTATCGCAGTGACACGAGTCCCCTCCTTCGAACCTCTCCACATCAGCCCATCCTCCCTAATCCCCCCCAGCCTCCCCGCACCGCTTTTCCAGCACCGTCCTCCCCAGCGCACGGCCCAGTCACATGCTGGCGCTCACGGGGATCAGACGCCGGCAGGGCAAGGCTGCAGCTGGTGGCATCCGTGGATTTCCCCCCAGCAGAGCCAGGGAGTCCCCAGCGCGTGTCCTTCTCTGCCACTCGTGGCGGCCCCAACTGCCCGGAGTCACCTCGGAGCCCTGCGATGCTCCGCAGTGAGGAAAGAGCTGCTGCAGGATCTGTCCATCCTCGGAGCGGGAGCTGCTGGCGCGAACATCAGTGTCGCCTGGACATCGCGGGCGGGAAGGCAAAAGCAAAGCAGTGCCCCGAGCTTTCCCTAATTAATGGCAGAGCAACTGCCTCTTCCTAATAAGATCCACACGGTCGAGCAACGCAATAAACGGGGAAGTTCAGCAATTAGGAATAAATGGCCAGAGGGGGAACCAGAGCCCCGTGGGGGAGCAGCGCTCCCAGAGACGTCCTCGTTCCTTCCCGCTTGGACGCAAACCCGGAGCTGATGCACGGGATGGGTTTCCTCAACTTTGCTTGGGATGCTGAGGAATCAGCCTGCGTGAGATGATGGAAAACTGAGCAAGTGGGGGAAAAATAAAAAGACTGTTAGGGCCGGTGTCAGAAAAGCTGGTGTATGAGCTGGCAGGTAGCATTGCCCTGCTTGGATCTAGGAAGGGCACAGTTGGAAAGGAGAAGGTGGATGAAAAGCTGGATGCTGCACAGTCAGCAATACCCTGACCCAGCTGATGTGCAGCATCGACCTGTGCCGCTTGTTCCCCAAATTGTCACCGCTTTCTCCAAAATGCAGGAGACGGTGCATAAACCACATGCTTGTGGTTTAAAGCAGCAGCCTCTTGCCTTTAATAGGGAGTGTGGCCCAACTGGGGGGACAGTGGTGCCCAGAGGCAGGTACCGGCAGCCGACAGCCCCGGGGAATTAGCGCCTTGCAGGAATGAAGGGATTTGCTCCTGGAGGCGCCGGGTGCCCGCGAGCGCTCCGCGCTGCCGACCATGTGCTCCCTAATAACCCCGGGGCCAGATGCCAGCGGATTTGCCACGGGACGGGAGGCCCCACGTGGCTCTGCGGGCTCGGCCGTAAATAGGCAGCCGCAATCTGTGGCATCCGCAGCAGGATTCCGCACCGGGGACGAGCCGCTACTCCAGCCCCCGTTTATTTCCTCTCCATTCCTTTTTCCTACCTGGAAACCGCATGGGGATGTTGGAATTGAGTGGCGCTGTTGAAGAAATCACCTTAGGGGAAGCCAGAAAGGGGGCTGCTGTGGGCAAAGGGAGCCTATCCAGGGGCACATCCACAGAGGGAGAAGTGTGGATAACTGCCGCCCAACCTCAACATCTTCCTTGGTGCATGGACTGCCCCAGGGCCTTTGGCCTCAGTGTGGGAGCCTCGAGGTCTCCTCGGTTGGGCTGAGTCCCTGGCTCCACGGCGCCTGGCTCTGCTGGAGCATGGTGTGTCCACGCTCCTTGCTGCAGTTTGAGCAGGGAAAGACACTGTCAGTTTTTCGTTTTTGAAGGCGGAAGAGTTAAAGGCCAATTTTTGCTGCCAGGACACGCTGCTCATATGAATGAAACCTGCCCAGTTTTGCACCCGGAGCCCTGGGAGCAGAACGGCGCTTTGGGGCACACCATAAATACGCTCTCGGTGCGGTACTTGCGCAAGGCGGTGCATTTACACAGTGTGCCCACTTGAAGCACTTTGCTGCTCCTTAACCAACCCTGCCACTCTCAGCTCCTTCCTCCTTCCATCTCCCGGCGCGGGTGTAGCGCAGAAGCAGAGCCCCTCTGCAGCACATTTTTTCCCTATCATTTCCCTTTAAAACGCCTGTAATTTCAAGACTGGTCCTTTTTAATTTTTTTCCCCCTTTTTTCCCCATTTTTCCATTCGCCCGCCCCGTGGGGCACCAGGACTCCCCTAAGGAAGCCGGGGGAGGGGGGGATCTCCCCGCATCTCCTCGCCCATCCCGACCTCCCCGCGCTCCTCATGGCCCCATTCCCGCACGCTCCCCCCT